TCTATTTTTAGTAGAGACGGGGTCTCACTCTTGCTCAGGCTGGTTTTGAACTCCTGAGCTCAAACAATCCTCCCGCCTCGGCCTCCCGGAGCGCTAGGATTACAGGCGTGAGCCACCGCGCCCGGCCAAAATGTTCTTAATTTTAATTTAAGTCAAATTTATTAATCTCTTCTTTTATATTTGTTACTTTTTGTGTTTTATTTTTAAAACACTTCCCTCCCAGAAAGATATTCACCTCCATTTTTTCTTGAGTTTAAGAGCTTTGCTTTTGACATTGAAGCCCTTGGCCCACCTGGATTTTATGTCTGATGCGAGGCAAGGATCCAGTTTCATATTGTTCATCTAGATATCTAATCTTTCTAAATCTCTTTTTGGTTTATCCTCTGTTCCTAGTGATCTGCCGGGACTCTGTCGTCATGTACTTTACTGAATTTTATATATGCCTAGGATGTCTCTGGTCTCTCTATTCCATGCCATTGTCAATGTGCCTGTCCCTGTGCTCTGCATTGCTGAGGACACAGCTGCCTTTGTTCCAGGTGATAGAGACGGATCCTGAGCCCGCCCACTCAGTGCTAGAAGAAAACTACCGAGAACTGCAGCTTCAGATCAGTGCCGTTGTGGATTTCGCTTCATACCAGTGCCACAGGGGCGACGTGCACTTTAAGGAAACCCTGGTTTACCAGACCCGAGTGTTCGAGTGAGTCACCAAAAGCCTCATGACACCAGTCAGAGAAGCTCTTTGATTCCATCATTCACTTGCTCATTCATCAAACATTCATTTAGTGTCTATGACAGTGTATACCAGGTATCATGTCTGTGTAGCGTGCACCAGAGTGTTGTCTTAGGTCCAACAAAACCTTCAGACCCACCAAGCTATTGAAATTCACACTTGAAATCAAGATACAGGCCAGGAAACACAGTCTCCCAGGAGGGTGGCATCAGGCAATCCACTTGCATGGGAATAGTCCTTGCAGCAGCCTGCACAGCCAACTAGGATCTGTTCTTATTGCCCGCCACCCAGGTGACAGCCCAGACAATATCCGCACCAGCAGGTATGGGGTCCATGGCTTAGAAGCCCATGCCCAACAGAAGCCATTTCTCATAACCACTCTGTAGACACAGCTTCTAGGTTCCCTGCAGAGAACATGCCCAGTTATAAAAGTCACTATAGTCAGAGAACCCCAGAACTATGCTTCCCTCCTAGAAATCATGGTTCCTCCCAGTTCACATATGTTTTACTAAGCGTGGATCATTTTTACTGTAAACAATGTCGCCTAATAATACAGCTGAGTTTTCTCCTTTAACAGGTTTCCAGGGGAACAGAGCTAAAAGGTTAATTCAGAGTCAAATTTGTCTTTGAGAAGGAGAAAAGGTTATGTGAACCCTTCACCCCACACTCAGACTCAGGGATCCAATGATGCCATGGGCCCCTCCTTGCAAGAGCTCATTGTCTGGGGGTGGCCGCGGGGGAATGGGTAAAAATAGGAGAATTATCATTTACAATGTAGTACCATGTGCATGCAGCAGTAGAGTACCTAAAGCAGATGCAGATGTGGGGAGAGACAGAGTGTCAGGGGAGGCTTCCCAGACAAGGTGGTGGATTCTGGAGTTAGCGAGGTAAGGAAGTGAGAATGAAGGGCCTTCTCAGCAGAGAGAGCAACATACACAGACAAAAATGTCAATCACTGACATTTCTACTTTATAAAAATTAGTAATTAACTTGTTCAACTCATTTTGCATTTTTTGAACTTCAAATGTCCTCTTAAATTGCTGTAGAACCAGAAGATCTGTGAGGAAGTGGGATCTCCTGCTGACAGCCATTGCACTTAAAGCAAGGATCAGCACACTATGGTCCATGGCCTGTTTTTGTAAATAAAGCTTTGTTGGCACATAACCACGCCCCTTCATTTACATATTGCCTGGGGCTGCTCTCACACTGCAAGAACAGAGTCCAGTAGTTACAGAGACCACATGGTACACAAAACCCCAAAACAACTTACTGTCTGGCCCTTAACAAAACAGTTTGCAACCCCTGACCTAAACCAAGAACCATTTTTATGAAAAGTACTCTGTGCCACTGAGATTTCTCCACTTTATAAAAATTATCTTTAGGATAAATACCAGTGTTCATAAATTCACGCAATAAGCACAAGCCCCTGTGGTCAAAGCACTTGATGTCAGGCACACCTGCAGTCTGCTGGACTGGATAATGGCAATCTAATCCCTACACCCCACTCCAGACCTGCTCCCACCCAAACTCCTGACTCTAACTGCT